GTGGGAGGGACCTGGTATGGGGTAATTGAATCATGGGGGAGGTTATTTCCCATGCTGTTCTCATGATAGCAAAAAAGTCTCACAAGATCTGATGGTTTTAAAAAGAGACATTCCCCTACACAAGCTCTCACTCTTTTCTCTTGCCACCATCCGTGTCAGATATGACTTGCTCCTCCTTGCCTTCCACAACGATTGTTTGGCTTTCCCAGACACATGGAACTGTTAGTCCAATTAAAGCTCTTTCTTTTGTAAATTGCTCAGTCTTGAGTATGTCTTTATCAGCAGTGTGAAAACAGACTAATAAAGTAAACTGGTACCAGTAGAGTGGGGCGTTGCTGAAAAGATACCCAAAAATGTGAAAGCGGCTTAGGGACCTGGGTAACAGGCAGAGACTGGAAGTCTGGAGGGCTCAGAAAAGAGAAAAATGTGGGAAAGTTTGAAACTCCCTGGTGACTTGTTGAATGGCTTTGAGAAAAATGCTGATCATGATATGGACAATGAAATCCAGGTTGAGGTGGTCTCATATGGAGATGAAGAACTTGTTGGGAACTGGAGTAAAGATGACTCTTTTTATGTTTTAGCAAAGAGGCTGGCAGCATTTTGCCCATACCCTAGAGATCTGTGGAACTTTCAACTTGAGAGAGATGCTTTATCTGGCAGAATAAATTTCTGAGCAGCAAAGCACTCAAGATTTGACTTGAGTACTGTTAAATGCATTCGGTTTTATAAGGGAAGCAGAGCATAAAAGTTTAGAAAATTTGCAACCTGACAATGTGATAAAAAAGAAAATCTCATTTTCTGAGGAGAAATTCAAGGTGGCTGCAAAAACTTGCATAAATAACAAGGAGCCGAATGTTAGTCACCAAGACAAGGAGAAGAATTTCTCCAGGGTATGTTAGAGGTTTTTATGGCAGCTCCTCCCATCACAGGCCCAGAGACCTAGGAGGAAAAAGTGGTTTCATGGGCTGTGTCCAGGGTCTCTGAGCTGTGTGTAACCTAGGGACTTGGTGCCCTATGTCCCAACTGCTCCAGCCATGCTGATATGGGCCAATGTAGAGCTCAGGCCATGGCTTCAGAGGGTGAAATCCTTGGCAGCCTTCACACGGTGTTGAGTCTGTGGGTGCACAGATGTCGTGAATTGGGGTATGGGAACCTCTGCCTAGATTTCAGGTGAGGCCCTTATGGAGAACCTCTGCTAGAGCAGTGCAGAAGGGAAATGTGGGGTCAGAACCCCCACAGAGAGTCCCTACCGGGGACTAGAATCACCCAATGGAGCTGTGAGAAGAGGGCCACCAGCCTCTAAAACCCAGAATGGTAGATCCACCAACAGCTTGCATCGTGTACCTAGAAAAGCCATAGACATTCAATGCCAGCCTGTGAAGACAGTGAGAAGGAAGGCTGTACTCTTTGAAGCCACAGGGGTTGAGCTTCCCCATGGAAACCTACCTCTTGCATCAGCATGACTTGAATGTGAGACATGGAGACAAAGCAGATCATTCTGGAACTTTAATATTTGACTGCTCCACTGGATTTCAGACTTACATGGGTCTGTAGCCCCTTTGTTTTGACCAGTTTCTCCCATTTGGAATGGCTTTATCTACCCAATGCCTGTGCCCCCATTGTATCTAGTAAGTAACTTACTTGTTTTTGATATTACAGGCTCACAGTGGGAAGGAACTTGCCTTGTCTCTGATGAGACTTTGGACTGTGCACTTTTGAGTTAATGCTGAAATTAGTTAAGACTTTAGGGGACTGTTGTGAAGGCATGATTGGTTTTGAAATGTGAAGCTGTGAGATTTGGTAGGGGCCAAGGGCACAGTGATATGGTTTGGGTATGTCCCCACCCCAATCTCATCTCAAATTCCCACTTGTTGTACCTGGTGGGTGGTAATTGGATCATGGCAGCAGGTTTTCCCATGCTGTTCTCATGATAGTGAATAAGTCTCACATGATCTGATGGTTTTAAAAAGAGGCATTTCCCTGCATAAGCTCCCTCTCCTTCTGCCTGCTGCCATCCAGTAAGATGTTATTTGTTCCTCCTTGTCTTCACTGTGATTATGAGGCTTCTCCAGCCACATGAAATTGTAAGTCCAGTTAAATCTTTCTTTTGTAAATTGCTCAGTCTTCAGTATGTCTTTATCAGCAGCATGAAAATGGACTAATTCAGAAACAAATAAAAAATTAAAGATATATCAGAGGTAATTCTCAGAAGACAGTTGCCTAAATACTTTGCTTCTTTCCTTAGCCAATGTACAGCTGAGGTGACTCAAGCAGTAGGAGGCCGGTAGTGCAATTGAGGAGGCAGGAGGACATGCAGGATAGTTTTTAAGCCTGAAGGAAATGCTGCAAACATCTAAGGAGCTGCTCTCAATCACAACATACAACTTATAGGAGTCTCCACGACACAATGTGAATCAGATGGAAAGGAAGGTAGCCTCCTCTGGCAAAGTATGCAGCAGAGCACTTCAATCTTGAGGCTATTTAAGGGTTTAAAAGATTGGTAACAGGATCCACTCAGTTCATAGAAAAACTATCCCAGCCCTCTTGTTCCTCAGGCCTAGAAAAGGACTACTGGAAAAAATCCAGCTATTTGGAAAATTAACTGCTTTCTTTGTCCCCACTGCTTGCCAATATAGCACTTCCCAAGATACTGAGTGTAATAACCTCAACTTGCACAGACTAACATAGAAAAATAAAACGAGGCTTGGTTATTTCAAGGAAGCCGACTGTCTTAGTCCCTTTGGTGCTGCCACAACAGAATACTAGGGACTGGGTAATTTATAAAGAACAGAGATTTATTTCTTACAGTTCTGGAGTCTGGGAAGTCCAAAATCAAAAGGTGCATATTTGATGAAGGCCTTCATGCTGTATCATCCCATGGTGGAAGGTGAAAGGTCAAGAGAGAACCAAAGAAAGAGAGGGGAAAGAAAATCAAGCAGGCATCAGATTTCTCATTTACTACACAAAAACAAAAAAAGACAGTGGAATTTTTTTTTGAGATGAAGTCTTGCTGTCACCAGGCTGGAGTGCAGTGGCGTGATCTCAGCTCACTGCAACCTCCACCTCCCAGGTTCAAGCAATTTCCCCACCTCAGCCTCCCGAGTAGCTGGGACTACAGGCACACATCACCACGCCCAGTTAATTTTTGCATTTTAGTATGGATGGGGTTTCACCATGTTGGCCAAGATGGTCTCAATCTCCTGACCTCATGATCCACCTGCCTCGGCCTCCCAGGGTGCTGGGATTATAGGTGTAGCCACTATGCCCAGCCAACAGTGGAATATTTTAAACATTTTGTTATTTTGTGAATTAGGAAACAAGAGACACTCTCAGACATTCAAGTATTCAGAAAGTATACAGTGTAGAAATGCTTTCCAAGGAAAATAATTAAGAAACTAGTAAAAAAAAATTAATTAATAGTAAAAAAAATCAAACCAAATATCAATTAAGAAGAAAAGTATACCCCAAATTAGAATAATAGAGATTTCCATTTATTCTGCCTTCTTAGGTAATTTCCCTATTGCTCAGGAGTTCCGGCGGCAGCGTGGGAAGGGCAGGGACATGAATTAAGTTTAAAGCAGTTGTGGATACATACATTCTTCTAGTTACAGGAATTAATTCAGAGATGGGAGCTTGACCAAGTCAAAATTGCTAACATACAACAAGACTCTCCCATGCTCCTATGTCTGACTAACAGTAACAACATCTGGAATTCTTCAGCCACTTTACAATCAGAAGCAAGATATGAAGAAAATGCTAACATTTTGCTGAGGAACATAAAATAAGACAAATTTTTTGAACAATGTGTCACATGTGAACCCATCTTCCAGGAAAATTCAATATTATAAAAATATTAATTCTCCCTAAAGTGATTTATACATTTAAGTACAATCCTAAATAAATTTCTGTGGAAACTAACTCTTTGTATTGAAGTCAGCAAGATGTTTCTTATAGAACTTAAAAAGATCATTTTAAAATTCATCTGTAGAAGAAACATGAGGAGGATAATTTTTTTAGAAAAAGAACAGTGTATTAGTCTGTTCTCACACTGCTATGAAGAAATATCCAATGGTGGATAATTTATAAGGGAAAGAGGTTTGTTGATTCATAGTTTCACATTGCTGGGGTGGCCTCTGGAAACTTATGATCATGGCAGAAGGCAAAGGAGAAGCAGGCACCTACCTTCCTCACAGGGTGGCAGGACAGAGTGAGTGCAAGCAGGGGAAGTGCCAGATGCTTACAAAACCATCAGATCTCGTGAGACTCACTCATTATCACCAGAACAGCATGGGGAAAACTGCCTCCATGATCCAATTACCTCCACCTGGTCCTACCCCAGGGATTATGGGGATACATGTGGGCCTTATGCGGATTACGGGGATTACAATTCAAGATGAGATTTTGGGTGGGGACACAGCCAAACCATATCAAACAATGAAAGGCATATGCCCTTCCAGACGCCAAATATATCTTAAAGTTATAGTAAGTAAAACAAAGGTAAGTGGCACAATTAGGTCAATAAAACTGAATAGAACCCAAAAGCAGGCCCATTTATGTATATAAATTATAGTAAATGTGATGTATTAATTCACTAGAGGAGAGTTTAGATTTGTTTCGTTGCTGTTGTTGTTTTGTTTGGGGGATTCTTGTTGTGGTTAGCATATATTAAGAAGAGTTTACAATATGCCAGACACTATTCTAAGTGTTTTTCATGTAATAATTCATTTTATCAGTCCCACAATCTTATGAGATAGATAAAAATATTATTCACACTTTGTGATAATAAAACTGAGGCACAGAAGAGGCTAGTCATTCTGAACTACCAGCAAACAGGAGAGCTGGAAAATGAACTGGAGAATTTTGACTCCATCACATCATGTAAGAAGACACATTTGATTCCTACCTACATTATATCAAATAAGAAAGCTCAGATTCTTGGCTGAACCTAAAGCCATACTGTAAAGTATTTGAATAAAATATGGGAGAAAATTCTTACAAGATTGGATTAAAGAAAAATTTTATTGTAAAACACAAAACTCAGAAGCTAAAAAGAAAAAAATGTTGTCATGTAATAATATATATATAAATATATCTATAATAAAATATCTTATATTATGGTAAACTAAAAGGCAACTTGCCGAGTGAGAGAAAATGTTTTCAACTCGTATGATTACAACACAGAATTAATATCCATACCACATAAACACTCCAGACAAATCAGCAAGAAGAATAAGAATAAACAAATCATAGAACAAGAATTCCTAACAGTCCATAAACATATGAAATGGTCCTCAACATCAGTAGTAATCAGGGAAATTAAACCAACAGTGGGGTACCAAGTGCTTCACTGAAGAGTGAGTAACTCTGGGTTGGTAAGGGTAAGAGGAAATGACTACCTTCATACACCATTTGTGGCCATAAAAGAACATTTTGGAGTCTGGTCACCAAAAGGTTAAAGTTAAACCTTAGACTCAGCAGTTCTACTTGTTATGGTAAGAGAGTAACTTGTATGTATAAGGGAAGACAATGATACACACACGCACACACACACAAGAAACTAAAATGAGTGTGACTGTAAAGAGGAAAATTCTCTACTAAATGCACTAATATTTTAGCAGTAGTTCCTGCTAGTAAGGGAAGGTTGTGGAGGAAGGGAAAGGAAACTGTAATGTTCACTCTATATGCTCATATTATTTAATACTTGACTGTTTTATAGTACATAAGTGTTTATGTATCACTTGTGTTATTTAATTTTTTAAAGAATAAATCTTGGTTGTTTAAGAAAATGTCAAAACTAGGTTCTCCTGTGTGCAAATAAAACTGTATTTCACAGTTGCCATTTGCTGTCTCAGTTTGCCTTCCCTGAGACTATTTACATAAATCTAGACAGAGAATTAATGTAACTTTTTGAAATGTATTTACAGAGGTCCACTTGGGCCGTGCAAGTGTTAGTCAAATCTAGTCCAACTTGTGAATAGTCAAAGGTTTTTTTCCACCCCTTTTCTTCAAAACGCTAACTATAATTCTGGTATCTCTAGCACTGTCTCTTTAGTTGCTAAGGCCTAGCCATGAGTGCCAGGTCAGCTCCTAGCAACAAGGCCCATTGATAGTGCCAGGCCAGCTCCTGGCTGCCAGGGCTGCCCCCACCCCTCTCTCTGAGGACAGTTAACTGGCATGCAACTTCTTCCCTCTGCCTTCTACTTCTTCCTGAGGTAAGGCAGGAAGTGGAGAAAATACTTTGAGATCTTCAGGGAAAGTGCAAGAGGACAAAATCCATATTCTGTGAGTGTCTAAGGAACAGACAGAAGCCCCTGTGTCCCTGATGGAGTCATGAAGATACTGTACTGGCCCTCTTACCTCTGGCCTTCACGTAGTGTAAAATAACACTAACTCTCTATGTGGTTCCTCCACAGATAAACTGGTCTTTCTGCAATTTACAAACACCATCCTCACTTGTATTGAAAGCTCAGTGACAATTCAGGAAAACAAGGTAGAATTGGACCAGGTGGTAAGATGAAAAAAGAAGACAGCGGCAGTTCCTCTTGATCCACAAGGCTGGTTGTTGTGTAACTCCTGTGGCAGGAGCAGTTGATTCAGGAGTTCTTTATTCCCTTAGGGGAGAACAAATGAGAATAGATGTGATTTTTTTTTTTTTTGACTGTCTTTCCCTCCTGCAATGTTCCTTAAAAAGGACCACAAAATGCACACATGTCATTTTGCCTGCCAAATCATTTTCTTTTGGGACATTTTCCTTTCACATAATTCCAGTAGGGCTGACCCCTTCAGTGATCACCAAGGACCCCTTCCAGACCTGCCAATCAGACTCACAACCATTGCATCAAGGATATGAATATGATCCAGGCCAAACCAATTGATACCAGATCTGGGGCTTTTGCTGAAACTGTTAGAAGAGATATGGCATTTGCACGGAGTTTACTCAGGTGGTAGAATATAAGCTAGAACATCTGGTAAGCAGCTTTGCCATTTCCTAGGGACATGAGAAGGAAGACAACATAAAGTAAGACACAGTCAGAAGATGGAAGGCGACAAGCCTGATAATAGTATGTGAAGTCCTATATCCAACTGTGTTCCTTCTGGACATAAGCCAATAATTTCCTGTTTTTCTCAAGCGAGTGTTACTTTTTAAGTGCTTGAGTTTTTCCTATCACTTGTAACCCATAGAATCCTGACCATGCAAATATACTGCAGAATTGCCTTACCTTAACAATTAGAATTTCAATAAACTATAAACAAGACGAGTTGTTCCAAGGAGCAGACTAACATTTAGATAATAATAATTAGATGCTGGGTGCTTTTGAATATGGTACTTCCTTTAATTCTCAAAAATTCCTGTTGGATTGGTAAGACAAATGAGAAACAAGGAAGAGATGGAGTAAATGACCACTCTCTGACTCTGAATCCTTACTCTTTTCCTGGCCTAATTCTTCTTTTAGCTCAGAGACCTCTATCTTGGCCTCATTCTTCAAGCACAGAGAAATGGTTACAGAGCTCCCTGTCAACAAAGAATTCTGATAAGTCATAAGAAATGTTAACATTCTAATTAGAAATGCTAGGATCACAGAGAACGTATTAAAATTTTCAAAGCTCAAAACTGTGCCACCTTTGAGAAGTTCTTCAAAGAACTAATCATGGAGCTTTTATGATAGGGTTGTACTCCTGGAAGACACTTTTCTATCTTCTGGGTTTTCACAATCACCAAATTAAATATCATATGTTGGGGGCTCCACCAGGACAAAACCTTGTCAGCATTTGCATGTTAAAATGATCCATATCTATCTAAAATCTCCTGTTTATATTAAGATATTTTAAGTCTCTGATTTTAGAGGCAACAGGTCCATAGAACATGTTTTGTTAGGTTTATCTACAAAATAATTCTGCATTTCCAACACAGGTCACTTTAACCTGCCAAAAAAAAATATTAAGCAGAATTTCCAGTTTTCAACTCAAAAAGAAATCTACAGGGTCCAGGTTCAGTGGCTCATGCCCGTAATTCCAGCACTTTGGATGGCCAAGGCAGGAGGATTGCTTGAGTCCAGTCAGGGAAACATAGTAAGACTCTGTCTCCACAAAAATATTATAATAATAATAAAAGTAAGCTTGCTGTGGTGGTACACACCTGCAGTCCCAGCTACTCAAGAGGTTTAGTTAGGAGGATTACCTAATCCTGGGAGTTTGAAGCTACTGTGAGCAGTGATCACACCATTGCACTCCAGCCTGGGTGACACAAAAAAAAAAAAAAATTTATAAATTTGTTTTGTTTTAAAAAAGCTTTTAAAAACATTGCATGACAAATGGAAGTAACCTAAAAAAGATTAAGTTAATTGTAATATATCTACTTGTTTATAACAAATTCTAGTAATAATTACAAGATATGTTATAATATTTGCAAAGGACTATACAAAATTGTATATATAATAATAATAATTACATAAAATCATTTTGCATTTGAACAAAATAACAGAAAAAGAGAATAGAAAAACAACAATCATATGGTTAATTATGATTTTAAATAACATTTTTCTTTTTCCATACTTTCTTTTTGACTATTGTATATGTTTTATAAATTTAAAATGATTATTTTTAAACAAAATATCTGAACAAACACCTCATTAATGGAGGCATACAAATATAAATAAGCATATGAGATGCTCAACATGATATGTTATTAGAGAACTGCAAATTAAAATAGCAATGAGATACCACAACACACCTATTAAAATGTCAACAACAACAAAAAAAAAAACCCAGAACACTGGCGATTGCTGGCAAGGATGTTGAGTAACAGAAACTCTGATTTACTGCTGCTGGGAATGCAAAATGCTACAGCCACTTTGAAAGACTGGTGGTTTCTTGTTAAAACTAGGCATGCTCCTACTATATGATTCAGCAATCATACACTCCTTGGTATTTACATGAATAAACTGAAAATTTATGTCCATTCAAAACCTGCACACGAATATTTATAGCAGCTTTATTCATAATTGCCAAAACTTGAAAGCAACCAAGATGTCCTTCAATAGGTGGATAAACAAATTGTGGATATCCAAACATTGGAATATTATTATTAGGTACCAAAAGAAAAAAGAGTTATCGGCCCATCAAAAGATATGAAGTAAAAGTCAATGTGTACTACTAAGTATAAGAAACTAATCCAAAAAGGCTTAGTGTGATTGTAAATATATGACTTTCTGGAAAAGGCAAAACTATGGAGACAGTAAAAAGCTCAGTGTTTATCAGGGGTTATGTCAGGGAATGACTAGGTGAATCACAGCGGATTTTTTGGGCAATGGAACTATCTGTGTGCTACTACAATGGTGTATACATGTCACTATACACTTGTCAACACCCATAGAAGATACAACACAAAGTGTGAACTTAAATGTAAACTTTGAACAATAGTTAATAATATATCAATATTAGTTCATTCACTGTAAAAACAACTCACCACACTAATGCAAGATATTATTAATAGAGAAAACTGTTGTGGAAGTGGGAGGGTGCATATGGGAACTCTCTGTACTTTCTGCTCAATTTTTCTATAAACCTAAAACTGCTCTAAAAAAATAAGTTTATTAAAAGCTATCAATCATTTTGATGTGATTTACAAGATCATCTTATTAGTACATTTTAGTTTAGCTTTACATTTAGTTTGCTTAATATTTTGGTTTTAGGGTATTTCTTTTTGTTTGTAAAATTCCTACAAATTTTCTCCATAAATTATAAAGCAGAATTATATAGAACAATAATTTTTCAGGTTTATCTATATCTTAGAATATTTTATGGAAGGACTTCTGTTTAAATAAATATCAAATGACCCATGATTTTTAACAATTTTTACTGTCTTTGCAACAAAATTTACTCAAGGTGTGCCCTTTGTTGAAATGTATAGGAAATTGAAATGAAAGATTTTACTCAAATCTGTATTTATTGACTCTTTAAATGAATGACAAATCCACCTGTAAATATAGTGATGGCTTGGTAAAGTCTGCTTTTTAAACTATGCTTTTCAAAAATAATTCCCTTTTTCCTCCCTAGAGCTGAATTCCTCTCAATCATTTGTAACTACATCCTCCACATTCTTCTCTTGAGTCCAGGATGCTTGTACAGACACCGAGTTGGTCCCCACTCATCACAGCCCACAGGGATCAAAACCTGTTTCTTTTTCCTTAGGCATTTTAATGTTTCCATTTTCTGTTCTTACTGTCGAGTTCATTAGTTCTTTAGAAAAAACAATTATTTTTTGAGATTGTAGAGCTTTTTGAGAGCTAATGTAAGGATCTATTATTAACCAGAAAAGGTAATTTCCAAGTTAAGAAAACCAATCTGCAGCCAGATTAATAAAGACTTAGCTATTTCAACATTTCAATGAAACATAAATTTGTCAGGAAAAAAATTGACTCTATAGGAAGATAGTAACATATGAGAAATATAAGACATACTATAATAAACTACTCTTGATTGAAGACAACTTTGAAAAAAATTATATCTGCACTTCCCTGATATCTCCTAATTCATACATGTGCTACTTCAATAAAAATAAAGTGAAATAACTATTAAGGCAGACAAGTATAGTTTCTTCTACTTAATTTTGAGCTCAATGGGTTTGAGGTTAAAATAGTGATTTTGTAGCCTGCAGGTAGCTCCCCACAAATGGGAAGATGCTGGTAATTTCAAACCAATAAAGTTGAAAGTGTTTGCTAAATCAGATCCTGCTACCAGCACTACTCCCTCTGCTGGACACTGTTCTTCCATTTCCAAAACTCTTGGGGCAGGAAGTTGATGCAAGGGACCCCTTGGATGTGGCAGAGAACACAAGCTTATTTGCTGCCCCAAACCCTCATTTACCCATTTCATTTATATCCCATCCATATCTCCAGAAGCAAAGATACAAGTGATCTAAGCAAATCTCTACAACTCTTTATTAACTTATCCCTGAGTTTAAAGACATGAAATAACTTCACTAGCCTTCTCTGGGGACACACCTGCACATGTGTTAAGTGTAACATGATATGACCAATTATTTTCAAAGCTCTGCTTTTCTGCTTCCACTTTGATTACATAACCCTTTGGGACTCATAGTCCATAAAAATTAATTCTTTTATAAAATACTTTTGTTCCTGTTTCTGGTACATTTTGAGTATAACAAACTTACTGAAGAAAAAAAAAGACTCACTTGAATGTATTGTAACTTCACTGTATTGTAGATTTACTGATATTTGGAAGAAACTATTTTCCTTTTTAACATATAATTGTCTCATAGCACTAATTTCATTAATCTTACATAATCCCCAAATGAACAATGCCAGCTTTACCAAAATAATTTTTTACAACTTCATAAAGCAATTTAGTTAATGGATATGTGCTTGCTTTGCAGTAAAGCAAAACAATCCTTTCTGAAACTTTTATTGGGGGACTGCGAACACTGCCTTGCATTATTGGTTTCATGTTTGCATGTCATACATAAAGTAAACACAAGCAGAAAAGCCCATTATTCCCTTTTCCCAGAGTAGACTATGGTTGTTAAAGATAGAGACTGGTAGTTTACAGAGGCCATTAAGAGAAGACCCTTGAGACTTAATTGCCAAAAATACAAACAACAAAAACCCCAATACTACTCTTCAGGACCCAGACAATCAATTCAGTCCTGAGTGATCAACTCCCCTTCACATAAGCCAATAAACAAAGTCAAAGTTGTCCCCGCTCTTTGTCCTCTTCCCTTTTTCCTTTGTCCCTTCTTTTTCTGCTCACCATCCTCAGGACTCACCCCTGCTTTTCCTCATTCACCATCGAATGACTCATCTGAAACATGTCCATGAAATATACAATGCACATTCTTTAAAGACATATGTATGCCTTCCCTGTCTCTCTCAAGGACTTTTTAATCCCTTAATTCTCATTCCTTTTCTTATTCTTTATTCCTACTTTTCATCTCAACTCGTGTTTTTGGTTTTGGTTTTTTCACTCCTTCTTCTAAGTCCTGGCTGTTGAGTTAACAGAATTTACATTCAGATAAAACGTTTTCTCCACATTTTAACATAAACTGACTGAGGTTGTAGCCATCCTACTAGGGAGTTCAGGTAGAGTTGCTTAGAATTTTTTTTTAAAGCATGCTGATTTCATTCCTTTACTCCCAGTGTCCCTTCAGAGAGAAAGACAAGCTATTCTAAAATTGGTTTATTTTGATAAAGTATTTGCCCTTATTTAAAGGGCTCATCTTCCCTTAACCTCTCTTCTCATTTACTAAACAGATTCTGCAGCTCTCCTCATCTGAGAAAATTGGACTCCCTTGTCTGCTTTGATCCAGAAAATTATGCTTTTATTAACACGAACATTTCCTGATCTCTGCCAGTGCATTTAAAATTTCCAGATTATGTATGTGCATCATTTATCAAAATGCCATCAGTTCCCAGGAATGCCAAGCATTCAAACTGAGCGACCTATGGCCTATATGTGGATGCATTCTAAGGAAGGGACATGGTGATTATAATCTTAGTCTCCAAGGTAGCTGCAGTTAGCTATATATTTTTTATTTCAAGGAAAGAAATGTGGCAATAAACTTCAAGGATGAGCTCTCACCAAACTGTAGAATCTCAAGGGAAAACAAAGATTCCCATCTACTCCTTTAAGCAATAGAAAAGATGAAAACATTTTGTACTAAAAAATTATCTGATTTTAGTGAGTGTGTTGAAGGGAACATAGTAATTTCAGTGATATTGTAAACATGCAACTATGTATCAGTAACAATTTTGATGTTTGGGAAGAAAAACGCACAGTAAGTTCTTTAATCTTTGTGGAAAATACCATGAGTCAAGTTTGGCCTATGTGCATGCTTTTCAACAAAATGCTGTTCAAACTCAAATCTTCAAAATTGTCTTGACTTGTGTTTTCTCTGCTCATTCCAATCTTCTCTGTAACAGAGAAAGAAAACACCACCATAACAAGCAGCATTTTGATCACCCAGAGATCCTTTAATTTTTATAAACCATGTCCAGAATTTCAATTTAAAAACTCTAGAGAATATATTAAAAATATATCAAGTGAACAGATGACCTAGATATTGGAATTATCGGACATGGGCTTTAAAGTAATGATGTATTCATATGTTCAAAAAAAAAGGACAAGATGGAGGATTTTATCAGATAACAGAAATCTATAAAAAAGAACAAAATGGAAATTCTAAGACTAAAGACAGTAACTGAAGTAAATGCCTAAGT